ATATTCAGTCAGTTTAGAAAAGACATTAATAAACAGCTAGTGGAACTAAGGAAAAAGATACAAAATGTGAATATCCAACAGAAAAAAGAATGAGAGTCCATAAAAAAGTTTCAGACAGAAATCCAAGAGACTAAATCCATATAACTGAAAATGTGGGCAGCAAAAGTGGCTATTGTAAAGACAAAGAGTCAGATCTAGAAGACAGGGCTAGGGTAAATGATTAATGAGAACTACCTTAAAAACAACAAAAGTACATGATGAATGGATCCAAAACCTGTTTGATATCTCACAGAAGACTAATATAATAGTAATTAGAATTAATTAAAAACTCAGAAGACCACACAAAGGACATAATAGGAGACAACTTTCTCAATATGGAAAAAGAATTTAATACACAGGTAAATGAAGCATATAAACCATGAATAGCCATAATCAGAAAAAAAACCCACTCCATACAGCCTAATAATAAAAAGACCAGAAATATAACACAAGAATAAAATCTTACAGGCTACTATACAAAATTATGTTTCAGAATTGATGGAGAAAAAAGATATACCATGATAAAGAGAACCTTTAAAAGTTCCCAGTGACCAAGCCAACACTCCAAGCTATTCTCAGTGACATCCTAGGAGACAATGTAAACAATGCCAAAAGGTGCGTTAAAATAATGCATTTGGAGGGGGGAAAGTAGAAGGAAAAGAAAGCAACACAGCAACAAGAAAATAAGATGGTAGAAATAAGTCCATACTAATCAATTATAATTATCAATGCAAACAGACTCAGCCAATCAAAAGACACGGATTAGCAGAATGGAACAAGAAACAAAATCCCACACTATGCTGTATACAAGAAACATATTAGGCCACTGTCTTCTCTCTTATATGAATGGCCTGCCCTTATGCAGTAGGGTATACCTCTTTTTCTACTTTTAATTGGCCCAAACTTATTTTGCAGAGCCTGTTTTTTTCCTACTTTTAATAAAATTTGCTACCCTTTAAAAAAGAAATAAATTGAACAAAAAAATTTATAGACTCAAAAAATCAAAGGATGGATAACAGTATTCCACACTACGGGAACCCCAAAACAAGCAGAAGTAACTGTCCTAATTTCAGACAAAGTGGACTTCAAGCCAAGGTTTATCAAAAGAGGCAAAGAAGGGCTGGAGATTTAGCTTAGTGGTGCTGCCACCTGCCTCACAAGCTCAAGGACCCAGGTTCGATCCCTCATTTAAAAAAAAGACAGAGAGGCAAAGAAAGGTATTACATATTGGTTAATGGAAGTGTTTAACAGGCAGAGATAATTATAAAAATTTGTGAACCAAACCATGGTACACCCAACTTCATAAAACAAATACTACTGGACATAAAAGATCAAATAAACATCAATACATTTATATTGGGGGACCTCAATACCCCACTATCTCAATAGGCATATCGACTAAACAAAAATTTAACAAAGAAATATTAAAGTTGAACCAATCCTTTGAACAAATGGACTTAATAGATATTTAGAGTGTTTCACCAGACAACAGATTACACATTCTTTTCAGCCACACATGGTACGCTCTTCAAAATAGAGCACATGCTAGCTAATAAAACATGACTAAGTAAAGGCAAAATAATAAAAAATTTACCATGTATATTATCAGACCACAGTGCAATGAAACTAGAAATCAATAGTAAAAGAAAACACAGAAACTATGTAAAAGTATGCAAGTTAAACAACACTCTTGAATAAACATGAGTAACAGAAAAAACTAAGGAAGAAATGAGATAGGTCCTAGAATGAAATGATAATGCCAGTACAATATATAAGAATTTAGAGGACATGATAAAAGCAGTCCTATGAGGGGAGTTTATAGCTATGAATACTCATATCAGAAAAATAGAAAAAGTCCAAATAAATAACCTAATGGTTTATCTCAGTCTTAGAAGAACAAGAACAATCCAAATCCAGAGTTTATATAAGGAAGGAAATTATAAAGATCAGAGCAAAAATTGATGAAATAGAGACAAAAAATATTAAAAATTGGTTTTTCCTCCTTGTTCAGAGACAGTCTGGCAGTTCCTCCCCATAATAAAGTTTTGCTATAGTCCTGGCTTGGTCCTGGTTTTCAGCTCTTTTTACTTAACATATCTGGTGCCAAGACCCAGGAGGAATGCAGTAGATTAAGTGATGATCCCCCACAAGCCAGGGTCAATTGGCCTTTCAGTGACCTCCTCCAGAGCATGTCTGCTGAGCCAGGACCTCCTTGGGGCTTTCTACGTTTGCCATTGCTCATGACTTACATCCAGACTGGTCACTGATTTCAGGGTGAGTAGGTAGTTAGCTTCCCTCTACTTGGGTCCTCTGTCTCATTCTCATTCTCTCCCTCTGGGGACTACTCAGAAATCCAAGCACTTGGTCAGAGGGACCCTCTTGGGCCACTGGGCCCAGGACTGTGCCCCATGCCTCATCAGCCCAACTCCTCTTATTCTCCCCTTCTGGGACTGGCTTGGGGCATATCAAAAGAGACAAAGACATTCCTCTTTTTTACACTCCTCCTAGGGAGCTAACTCCTCCTCACCCATTCTAACATGGGTGCCCAACAATCCAAACCCCCTCCCTGAATGCCTCTTGGCTGCCTCCTGGCATAACTTTGTCACTTGGACTGTTGGGACCCAACTGTAAGCCAAAAATGACTCATTTTTTTACTGCAACCAAGTTTGACCTCAGTACAAATTATATAATAATCTCAGTGGCCCAAAAATGGCACATTCAATTTTAATATACCATGCAATTTACACAATTTTTGTCATCGCAATGGCAAATGTTCAGAAATCCCCTCCTTACAAGCTTTCTTTCTTGTTTCTCCCTCCATCAAACCTGTTCACCCTCTCAAGTACTTCTAGCCCAGACTCCATCCTCTGCCCCTCCTGACTTCTTCCTCTGATCTGGCCAATCACTCACCACTCACACCTACCCCACCCTGTAACCCAGCCAGCTCTTCCTTCTCCTTGCATGCTCACCTCTGCCATCTTGTGACCCTTCCTCATCTCTGCCACTTATGTCTCTCCACCACACACCAGCACTGTCCCTGCTCCTCAGCCCCTCCCAAAACAGAGTGAGTTAACAACCACTTCTCATCTTGTTCTTCCTTCTCCAGCTTCCTCAAAGACAGAGAAAAGCAAGACTCTACAAAAAAAAAAAAATGTAAATCTTCTCCTGGCCCTGCCTATTTACATATCAACAACTTGTGTGGCAGGCTACATTACCAAGAAATTCCATTGGGCCCTATTGTTTTCTACATGAATATTGAAAAATAAAATATAAGTTTTTAAAACAATTAAGAAAATGTAATGCTTAAGATCAGAGCTCAGAGACCAAATGCTATGTTACAGCACAGTGCTGGCTACAGACTGCTTGTTCCATCATAAAATCAGGTGCAATGTCCTTCCAAGCAGAAAATCAGTCTTAGAAAACAAAAAAAACCAAAAACCAAATTATAAATTCTGGCTAATTGACAATTGTACCTTTCATCTTCAACTTAAAATAATGCTTGATTGGTGTTTGGTTCCCAGATATTTAATCAATGTATTTGAAACATTTCTTTTACATTGCAAATTGTTAAATTGTAACTATAGGATTAACTTGATCTTCTCTCTACTTTCTGTTTACAGACTTCTGACAGTAACTATAACATAAGATTATGCTACTGTTTTAAAGCACTTTTACCCCTCATTTTAATTACAAGAGATCTCTGTTAATTGATGTACAAAAATCTTGACTAGTCTTAATTAAAAGGGATGTTATAAGGTCCCTGATTTAGCTCAGTGGTTCTGCCACTTGCTCAAGGGCCTGAGTTTGATCCCTGGTACAAAAAAAAAAAAAAAAAAAAGATGTTATAATTCAATTTGCCAAATATATTTGAGTGCACTCTAGTTTCATAAATTGTCTTATATGTTTGTCTGTGTCATCCAATTGTTTAAAATTGTTTGTCCAATTATATTTTTATCAAAATGACATCAAAGATATATTGTTAAGTTCTACAACCTGGTTTTACGGGTTAAATAAAAAATTGTCAGAATAATTAAATATAAACTTTTAGGTTTGGATAGACTCTTGTTAGTAAATAAAGAAGCAACTACAAGTTCAATCCCTGGTCCCAAAAAAAAAGAAGCAGCAGCTGCTCAGTAAAATTTATTCTGGTCTTTGTTCACTAATGGGAACCCCAGTAATTTTCATAGCCTTTGGTAAGATATACCCCCAATAAACATCATTAAATATGCTGTTTTAAAATGTTTACATTGGTATTATCAAAGGGTTGAGTTATAAATGTGTTATTGTGATATGTTTATAATGGTCATCTTCAAAATATATTTTCTGTGGAAAAACAAAGAGTTATTAAAAAAGATCCTTTTGGTATCAGTCTACACTATAAGACATAAGGTTTCATATAATTATAATTATTATTACTACTTTCCTGGTGTACAAAATATATCCATGTTTTCTGACTATACATGTCTTCCAACACATTGTTTATGGCAATAACCTTTTGATCCAGGTATTTGCCCTTTCTTCTGCTCCACCTACTCATGATTACAGTTATATTTGTAGACCCATACAATTTCCTTAGAAGGCATCCTATCAAAAGGTGATAACTTAAGTAAGAGTTTCCAGTTGTTTTTTTGTTTGTTTTCTTTTTTGAGACAGGGTCTCACTATGTAGTTGAGACTGACCTAGAACTCACTTTGTAGCCCAGGCTTGTCTTGAATTCACAATGATCCTTCTGCCTCAGCCTCCTCAATGCTGGGATTGCAGGTGTGTGCCACCATACCTGGCTCCAGTTTTTTGTTTTTATGTGTTTTTAGAGGGGAATAAATACATTTGGCAATGGCTATTTTATACTAAGATACATATCTAAGTTTGGTGCAAAGATAATGTCATCATGATTGTCATGCTAAAATATTATTATTATGTGTGGCTCCTAATTCAAAGTTTTTTCTGTTAATATTCTACAGGAAATCAACTACTACAACAACCATGATTGTTACAAACAACAGTCCTCTACTATACTTTAGATTCCAGAGTGCTTGCTATCCAGATAAAGTTATGACAGTTAAGGCCATTGCTCCTATTGTACTACTGATGTAACTGATCTTCTCTTCTGGGTGTTCAACCACAAAAGGGAAGAGACCAACACTAAAAGGTAACTGGGCTAAGAAGGCCACCAATATTTTTGCCCTGGCCCTCCAAGCTCATTAAAGACCCAAAGTATAAGGAACCTTTTCTACAATGCCTTACATCTTTGGTAAGTCACCCAAGCTCCTGAGCAGGGAGATTGCTGGACACCAGAGGACAAATGTAACACGTGCCAAAAGAGGGTCACCAAGAGAAAAAATCTCCCATGCTTTCACAGAAAGTGACTTGGTCAAGCAAGTCTCATGACCCATCCTAACATCTGACACTGACAAGAGCTGAAAGGCTCTATGAATGGTTCCAAAATAATGCCTAAAGAGATTTAACTGACCTTGAAAGATAGCAAGATATTCATATTGATTGACACAGGTCTCACTTTAACTTGGTCTTAAATACCCAGCAGAAAAGAATAACCAAAAGAAGCAGTCAATAGCACCAGAGATAGAGAGATTTTTGAGGCACACCACTCCACCTCCCTATAAAGGGATAGATCTCTAAGTGGTAAACCAGATAACCCAGTTTCAAAAAAGGCTACAACACCTATTTAATACCACCCTCCACTATCACCCTGTCAGTATCTCAGACTGTTGGATGTGTAAGTCCATTTACTCCTGCTCATTCACTCCAATTCCTGTCCCCCTAGATTTTAACCTGTTTTGCTGTTTTCAAAAATTTCTTGCAGAAATACATGAGGGCATATACCAACCAGACAGTCACAGAACTCATCATGGGACAGTATGAGACACTGTGTAAGAGGAAGAAGCACTCACCTACTGCTGCCCCCACCACATCCAGGTTTAGCCCCAATCTTTGCCCCTTTATCAGCTTGAAGCAGCTCAAGAAAACAGACCTTCCCCAATAACCATAAAATGAAAGCCTGGAATGTTAGATTTCTCTCACCTTAAGATGGCCCTAACTAGTGATGGCACAAGCCCCTCCTAGTGATGTCACAAGCTCCCCCAATCCCTAGCCACTACATCACTCAATCCCTCCTCAGTCCTACAAGATGTGCTCCCTGTCTCAGCCATATTGCTTTCTCACCTTTGTTCGGAGACAGCCTGGCAAATCCTCACCATAATAAAGGTTTATTATGGTCCTGGTCTGGTCCTGATTTTCAGCTCTTTTTACCTAAAAGATCTAACTCAGGACCCTGCCTCTGAGCTACATCTCCAGCACTAATTAAACCTTTCATACATTAATATATTTAGGTTGTCAGTACCTGAGTTAAATAAAATTGTTTTAAATTTCAAAAAATAAAAAATCAATTAATCAGAGTCTGTCCTTTAAAGGAATAAACAAAATAGAAAAACACCCATATCTTATCCAAAAAAGGGAAGAAACAAGTTAATGCAATTAGAAATGAAAAAAGATGAAATCACAATGGATACTACTAAAATCCAGAATATCATAGTGACTGTATGCCAAAAATTGGAGGACTCAAAAAAAAAAAATTAAGAAATTCCTAGATACATGTGAATTATCAAAACTGAACAAAGAAGACTTCAAAATCTTAAACAATTCAATAACAGACAATGAAATCAAAGCAAGAATAGGAAAACTACCACTAAGAAAAGCTGAGGACCTGACAGATTTATGGCTGAATTCTATAAGAACTTCAGAGAGGATCTAACACCAATATTCCTCAAACACTTTAATGAAATTGAGAGGGAAGAAGTACATCCAAGATCATTCTAAGAAACTAACATTATCCTGTTGCCAAAGCCAGACAAGGATCCAACCAAAAAAGAGAACTATAGGCCTATCTCCCTAATGAATACTGATGTAAAATATTCTTTACAAGATACTGGCAAACAATGTAACAAATTGTCAAATATATCACATGCCATGATCAGGTAGACTTCATCCTAAGGATGCAAAGATGGTTTAACATACACGAATCAATAAATGTAATTCATCATATAAGCAGAAACAAGGACAAAAAAAAAATCACAAGATCGTCGCAATAGAATGAGGAAAAAAATCTTTGACAAAGTCCAACATCCATTTATGATAAAAATCCCTGAAGAAAATGGGTATAGAAAGATATTAAATCAATCTGATAAAAACCATTTATGATGGGCTGGGCATTTATCTTAGGGACACTGTGCCAGCATGGCAAAAGCAAGGTCCTGAGCTCAATTCCCAGTCCCAAAAACCCCAACCTACTGCCAACATCCCATTAAATGGGGGAAAACTGAAATCTTTCCCTCTAAAGTCAGAAACAAAATGAGGATATCCATTATCATCACTACTCTTCAACATAGTCACCAAAACATTAGCCAAAGCAATCACCATGAGAAAGAAATAGAAGAAGGGATATGTATAGGAAAGGATGAGGTCAGCATACAGTTATTTGCAGATGACATGATCCTCTACTTACAAGTTCCCTAGAGTTAATAACCAAATTCAGCAATGCATTGAGACACAAAATAAAGACACAAAAATCAGTAGCATTCATAATACACTAATAATGAACTCAAAAAGAAATTAGGAAAATAATATTATTCAGAATAACATTTAAAAAATTGGATATTAACCTAACCAAGGAAGTGAAAGGACTCTACAATGAAAATTACATCACTCTGAAAAAGATAATCAAGAAGAACATCAGAAAATGGAAAGATTTCCCCTGTTCCTGAATAGGCACATACACATAATGCTATTTTTAAGAGAATTGGAGCCCACATTGAGAGCAAAGAGAGGGACCTCATTGCAAAGAGGGAAGTGGAAAGCAGTGTTGTTTTTCTCAGTCCTGGTTCAGCACATGGGATGGGTATCTCAAACATGCAGAGACATGGTGAATACTGGTGACCCCAGAGGTCTCCATGGAGAAAAGTACCAGTCAAATGGAGCAGTGGATGCTATGAACTTCTATGGCTGATTCAATTCAAATATGGTTCAAGTGTCTCCAGAAAAGAGTGACTGACCAGTTGTGATTTTGGAAAGGGGCTAACTGAACTCAGAATTTAGATCAATTATGGGTTGGCTCCATCTAGTGGCTCCTAGTGTTAGAGTAAGATGCAGCCCTGGGAGACAGGAGGCACCCAGAGTGTTGCAGACTGAATAACTTGGGTTCCAACCTTAAAGCCAGAAATCAAAAGCAGGGGTGGGATTTAGTTCAATGGTTGGTTCTACTGCCTGCCTCAAAGGCACAAGGACTCAAGTTTGATCCCTGGTATAAAAATTAAAAAATTTTAAAAAAGAAGAAGAGAGAGAAAACAGAAATCAGAAGCAGTTTAAACTTTAGTGGAGCATAGACTGAAAATGAAAAGATAGAAAACAATTCTCCATGTGACAGGAACTCAGAAAAAAACAGGGGTAGCAATCTTATTTGCAGACAAAGCAAATTTCAAACCAAAACTGATTCTAGCATTATTGATGTAGGATGGTACTGTATCATATCTCTGTGAATGTAAAATATCTTGTACCTGCTTTATGATACATAGTAGTGACTGTGCTTTATCAGAGCTACATTTAATGATATTACTCTAGAATGTTCTCTTTCCAGATGATGATTAAGATGCTAATAAAATAAAAATGGTCCCAGGTACCACAACAGCAACACTACTTTGCTGTTTTCTGGATATTATTCTTCTCTTTGTTTTTTTTTTGTTTTATTTTTAATGGAATGTGCTGAATGTCTATAATTTTGTTCAGATGACTGCAGAACCTGGAAAAGCTGTTGCTGCCATCGATGTCTAACATAGTATTATTAGTCTTTTTATGTAAATATAAATATATATATATACATATATATATAAATTGAATTTTGGGAAACTTTAACGGTGCTGCCAACTTTGGAAAAAGTCATCCCAATTTACTGTGTTGAGTTGGCATTGTACAGAAATGGACAGCCATATTGGTCTAGAAATGTTAATTTTTTTATTTTTATTTTTTTCCATGTGTACAGGGGTAACACATCATACTAAATATGTAAGGTCATGTCTACATGGGTTTGATTACAGAAACTAATAAAGTATTCTCTAAATAATGAAAAAAAGAATAAGATAAGACTATAAGAGCAAGAAGCAATTTAAATATGTTCAGGGACCATATTCATCTCCAGAATTAAGGATTATTTTAATGTTACATCATTGCCTTTTCTCTTTTACTTTCCTTTTTAGTTTTATTTTAGGATTCCCTATTTTTAATGTTCATACAGAGATTTCTTTAACTGAAATACCGAATAGTTTCTTTGGTGTGAAAAACTATAATAGTACACAGGATCCTAATGAGATAATTAATAATGTGAAATAGGAAGTAAAGGGCTAAAGGTGTAGGGAAAGTGGGAAGGGTGGGGGAAGGAAATAAGGGAGAGGAAAAAATATGAGAAACTGAAAAAATGGAAATAAAGTGTTTGTAAATGGGGAGGGAGGAGGGGGTGAAGGGAGGGCAGGGACAAGGGGAAAAAATGAGAATCAAGACCTGTTATGTAAAGGTACAGAATCCCAATGATGAATGTAACTGTATTGTATACCTAGATTGTACCAACAAACTCAATAAAAAGAAAAAAAAAACTTCAGTGGAGCTTAAGGTGCTGGCTTGCTGGGATTAACCACTATCCCACCATAATTCTACTGCTGGCTTGCTGAAATGAATTAACATAGATCTGGGTTCTGGCTATCCACTCTGTCTACTGGTGACAGCAGAGACATCCTCTAATGTATACATATTTATTTTCTTTTCTCCCCTTTTCTCTTAATCGCTTATTTTTTTTCATATGAATGTGAACACTGTTTCTAGTTTTTTTTGTTATTCCTGATTTGTGTTGTTCATGTTTATATTTCTTCCTTCTTTCATTTCTTCTTATCTTTACCAGTTTCCCAAATTTCTTAATCTTCCTTTGTCCTTCAGCCTTGCTTCTACTCTCTTTCTCTTTTTCTATTTCTCTATTTTTTCTCCTAACTCCTTTTAAATTTTCTCTGCTTAGGGTAAAATTGCCATATTGAGGGGATACTAACTGTATATAATTTTCTGATTTGTTATAGAAATACAAATCATATTCATATGTTTAAAGGTGGCAAATTAAGTTACCACAGTTTATCATTTTCTAGGCTGTACTTGATGCTATTATTATTACTGATTTTGGCCAAGGTGACATAGTTGTTCTAGTCAATTCTTCCTTGTATGCTAAGACAGAGTTGTGAGGGTCATAAATAATATCATAGGCCAGTGCAAAGAACCAGAGGCTATGCCAAATAGGCAATAACTTTTCATGCCCAATAAATTGAAGAAGTAGGATCTTGGAAAGGACTGAAATCCCAAAAGCCAGCTACACCTGGAAAATATCTCTGAGAATAGTTATTTCCTAAGTGTTCTGAATACTGGCAACAAAGCTACTTGCTATAAGCAATCAACAAGCATCAAGCCAGGAATTAAACTAAAAAGAAAAAAGAAAAGAAAATGAGAAGGCATTTAAACAAGATGTTACCCCAATTTCCAGCTGACAAAGGGCAATCCCAGGGAGCAATAAAGTGGAACAAGCCACCCACCTGGACTCTGAAGTGGTAATGGTTGAAGTAAAAAAGTAGATGAATGCGGCTCTAGAAAAAAATCAGAAATAATTTCCCAGATAACTACAGAGAGGAACATAATGAAAGACAGGGTTAGTGAATCTAGAATAAATTCAGATTTTTTTTAAAACGAAGAGCTTAGGAAAATGACAGAAGCTATGAGTGGCCAACATAAGAAAGAAATGGAATCCATAGAACAAATTTAAACAGGTTTCCCAGTTTAAAACTCTATTGAGGGCTGGGGATAGAGCTCAGTAGCACTGCACCTGCCTGGCAAACTCAAGATCCTGAGTTCATTCCTGGTATACACACACAAAAAAGGACAAAGAACAAGTAAAGCAACAAAATAAAACAACACCCCCCCCAATAAAAACCCACCGCTCTACTGAAAGTATATGCAGCAGAATGAATCAATGCTAGAACAGAATATCAGGTCTAAAAGACAGTTTTACAATTACTGATCATGAAAAGAAAGATTTCTTAAAAATAGCAAGGGACCCTGAAAAATAAATCCAATAGCTGCTAGATGATGCAAAAAACAATAACATAAGATTGATTGGAGCCCATGAAAA